CCCCTGGGGCCTCAGTGGGACCTGGGGCCCAAAATTAGTGGCGTGATGGTTTTTGTGCCTCGGAGCGAAGGCGCGAGCCACATTTTGAAAGCAGCGTGCCCTCCGTCCCGAAACCTGCTGCAACCGTCCAGGGCGAGTGTGCGCGGCACAGGAGCGAGAGCCGCACGTTGAAAAGGAGCCGCCGTCCGTCCGTGATGCCGTTGCAGTGTTTGCGACGAGCGTGCACGGCGCGAATGCAAGAGCCACATTTTGAGAGGAGGAGGAGGAGGAGGAGGAGGAGGAGGAGGAGGAGGAGGAGGAGCGAGGAGGCGGAGGAGGAGGAGGAGGAGGAGGAGGAGGAGGAGGAGGAGGAGGAGGAGGAGGAGGAGGAGGAGGAGGAGGAGGTAGGGAGAGGGAGGAGGGAGGAGGAGGAGGAGGAGGAGGAGGAGGGAGTAGGGAGGGAGGAGGAGGAGGGAGGAGGGGAGGGGAGGAGGGAGGAGGGAGGGAGGAGAGGAGGGAGGAGGGCGGAGGAGGAGGAGGAGGAGGAGGAGGAGGACGACCCGCCCTCCATCCGTGCAACGGCTTCAAATTATCAGGCTTCGGGATCGCAGACGGTGCGGAAGTCTCGTGCGAAACGCCTGGCCCGCCCTTTATATGACACGTCTGGGGGTGCGGCAGGGAGGCGTTTGCCAGAAGGAGAAATCCTGGACGGGGAGGATGAGTCAGGACGTGGGAGGAGGCGAAGGAGGAGGCGAAGACGAGGACGAGGGAGGAGGAGGTGGAGGAGGCGGAGAGGAGTAGGACGGAGGAGGGTGGAGGACGAGGGACCAGGAGGAGCACTCCCCTCCCGGCAGGCCCTCGTTCGGCTGGAGGTGCCGGTGGCGGGCGGCGACCGCGGGGCCACCGCCGGACTCCTCGGGCCCCGCGTGCCGCGGGTGGGGCTAGAGCGTCCCGCAGCGGATCGGTGAGTCGTCGGGTCGAGCCCGTGGGCTTGTGGCCGGGTTGCGAGGCGTGTGTTCGGGTGTCGCATGGCACGGTCGGGAGTTTTGGCTTTATCGTACCGCGCCGCCGGTCCTGGCCCACCGCGCAGCGGCTCGGTGCGTCGTCGGGTCGAGCCCCGGGTGCGTCGCCACGAAGGAAGGGGGATCCTGAGGTTTCTCGCTACGTTCGGGCTCTCGGGGCGTAGGGGAGTCAACGACTGGGCGACGAGTTGGGGCCCAGCTCGGGGATCTACGGCGCGGGGGGGTCCGAGGGGGCGTCTGTCCTCGCTTGGCGTGCGTCCGAGTCGCCCCCGGGGCGCGTGCCGCGGGCGGGGTGCCGCAGCGGGTCGGCGAGTCGTCGGCGAGTCGAGCTGTGGACTCGACTGTTGCGTGAAGTCGGGCCTGTCCCTCTACAGGAGGGATCTGCAAAAATAGTAAAAAAGTAGTCAGGGGAAGATTTGTTGATAATTGTCGCGTACTTCTTGAATACTTGCTGGGGTGTTTTTTTATTGGAGAGGCTTGACGGCCGGTGCCGCCGACCCTGATCGAAAGGGCTAGGAATGGGGGGAGGAAGCGGAGAAGGAGGAGGAGGAGGAGGAGAAGGATGAGGAGCAGGAGGAGGAGGAGGACGAGGAGGAGGAGGAAGAGGAGGAGAAGGAGGAGGAGGAGGAAGTGCATCCTTTGTGTGTGCCCGCTCGAAGAAAATGCGCCCCGGGAGTGTGATATTCTGATTTGGGACGTGCTCCCGGAAAAGGAAGAAGTGCATCTCGGGCGTGCCCGCTCGAGGAAAATGCGCCCTAGGGGGGTGGTATTTTGACTCGGGGCCCGCTCCCGGGACGCCTCTGCGGGAGGAGGAGGAGGAGGAGGAGGAGGAGGAGGAGGAGGAGGAGGAGAGGAGCAGGAGGAGGAGGAGGAGGAGGAGGAAAAGGAGGAGGAGGAGGAGGAGGAGGAGGAGGAGGAGGACCAGGAGGAGGAGTCAGTGCATCCCGTGCGTGCCCGCTCGAGGAAAGTGCGCCCCGGCGGGCGTCGTATCTGCCCCGGGACCCCCCCCTCCCCCCCCCCTGCGGGGAAGGGATCAAAGGGAAGGGGCTTCCCTTCGACTCCATTACGACGTCGTTTAATTTCGCTTTGGATAGCGCGCTTGAGGAGGAGAGCCTTGGGAGGGGGAGAGCGGAGACGACGGAGACGACGAGTCGAACGGAGAAGCCCCTCACACACGCCGACAGGGTCGGCGGATTTTTCGTCCCAAATCCGCCTGTAGGGGCACACGCCCGAGCTAAATGTTGCGTGTCACGGTCGGGATGCCGCGCGAGAGTGCCCCCTTCCTCCCCCCTGCATGCGCGACCGAGTCGCAGCTCCGTAGCCCCGTTTTGCTCCACGCGCGAGCGGATCGCCTCTGCCGCCGCCGCGACGGAAAAAAGCTGCGGCCGGGATTCTGGGTTTGGCGGGTCGCGCCGACGGTTCTGGCCTGCCGTGCTTCGGCGCGGCACGCTGTCCACATCCCAACCCTCAGGCGTCTCGCCCCGCGGAGCGGAGCGACGCGCTATCAGCTGGCAGAGCACAGCGTGTCGCCGGGGCCCCCGCCGCGACACGCGAAGCAGAAGTTCCTGACCGCAGGAGTGTGTTTCGGCTCATGCGCTGATGTTGCCGTCTCCCCGTCGTCGGTCCTCCCGTCCCCCCCTGCTGCAGCCTCGTGTGTGATGTTGCTGCTGGACGCACGGATGTCGGCGACTGTGTCACAAGCCTTCCTCAATAGTTGCCCGATCTGCCTAGGCGCTCGCGCGTCGTCAATGGTTTGGTCTCTGAGGCCGGTTCGTGGGTCGTTCGTTCGCGTGCAGGTTCAGCCAGGCAGCCAGCCAGGCACAATTTCCGGTCTGGGCATTATGCATACTGGGGGCAGGTACTTTGCCAATAACATGCAACGATACGTGAGCAACACTGTGCGACGACACACACACACACACACCGTATATCATAGCACTACGTAGCACTTCCGCATGATGTTGTATCGTAGCGACGCCTGATGTAATAGCATGTCATTGGGTAAGATTGCAGTTTGTTTCGTTGAATGCCACCACCTAACTGATCACCCAACTACATCGCACATCATACACTAAGCACGGATATAACATCAGCACCTCGGAGCATGTCATGCCGCAGCATGGCACATCACAACATGGCAAGGCATGGCCTCTGGATGGCAATGTCTAGCATAGCTAAGTGGAGCACTGCGTATCGAGCCATCACATTGCAATCGGTTGCAAAGTAGGGAGCAGAGTGTGGCATGGCCAAGTACTGCACCGCTTAACATAGCGCGGCATGGTATAACGCACCGCTGCGCACTGCTGCAAAGCATAGCGGTGCACAGCGTATGACGCCACAGCACTGCTTTTGCAACAACTGTTGCGCATATCATGACATCGCGCAACACAGCACGGCATTGTGTTCCATCTCAGTGGGAAGCAGATCATGCCATCTCGCGCTCCAGCGTAGCAATTCAAACCCTGGCATGGCATGCATTGCACGGCATAGCATTGCGCAGCATGTCTGAACCTTGAATTGCTCTGCACTGCCCAGCAGTAAATGAAATGCCAAGGCAGATCTCAGCATGGCATGCTGTAACAAAGCATGGAAAACACAGGCGATGCCAGAGCAAAGCAAAACGACGTAAAACACAAGACAATATAAGACACGCCCGATAAGACTACCGAGCGACCTGAGCAACCCTGGCCGCCACGGGCATGGGCACTTGCCCTCTTGCTCCGATAAGCGAGGACCCCTTCGGCAAAGCCCTGCTTGCGGAACGAAGCGCTGAACTTCCCTAAACCGCGCTTGCACTTAGAGGGGTTCTTGTCTGTGCCGGCTGTGAGGAAGTGCCCCTGGCTGCCGGGCCCCAGTTGCTGCCGCCGCCGTCGGATGTTGCCACAGCCCGAGGGCGGGTCCTCGGCTTCCAGCGGTTGCCACGATAGGGTTTTGGCCGTTGCCCGTGGATTGCCTGCTGGATTCCAGCGGAAGCACGCACCTTAGCTGCTCTGATGCGCACGTTTCGAAACGCAACACGTGCCGTGTTCAAAACGTCCGTGTTCAGAATGTACGTGTTCAGTCTGCGTGTGGAGCTCCGTGTCAATCCGCTGCGTGTTGCGCCTTGCGTACCGGGGCAGCTCAGGCACGCACGCACACACACACAGGTTTCCACAGTCGGGGCTTCACACGCGCGTGGGGCTCCACACGTAAGGGCACCACAGACATCGGGCTCCACACACACACAGGGGCTCCACACCCATCGGCGTCCGCACGCAAACGCACACGCAGAACAAAAAACACACAGACACACACACAAACACACACACACACGCACTTTTGGCGTCGCGGCCACGCGCGCGGTGGTGCGGCGCAGGCGAAGCCCAGCGGGAGCGCACGGGCCGGCCCGGCTCACGCAGCGCGGAGGAGTTGGATCCGGCCATCGGCCCACCGGGGATGAGCAGCAACGTCCGCGAGGGGGCAGTCACGAAGGGAGGGGGCGACAGGAAGGAGGGGCCTTTTCAAGTGACAGGTTCTCGATGAGGTGTGTCGATGTTCTGGACTTGGATTTGCGCGCGTCTCGTAGCTAGAGGAGGCCGGTTCTTTCTGAAAGCGGGCCTATCGCCTGCACTCCTAGCAGTGACAAGGATTGCTTGTCGGGAATCGTGAGGACAGGGCTCTGGACGGGAGGGTGCATAACAGCATCATTGATGCACCATGGGCTTACTCTGATCCTACTCCTCGGTGTCACGATCCAGTGGGCCCTGACTCCTCATCCTCCTCCTCCTCCTCCTCCTCCTCCTCCTCCTCACTCCTCCTCCTCCTCCTCCCCACTCCTCCTCCTCACTCCTCCTCCTCCTCCTCCTCCTCCTCCTCCTCGGCGTCTTCCACAGCTTTGGCTCGAGGCGGGGGTGCTCAAGGCCTGAGGCCGAGAGTGGGGCTACGGTTGAGAGCAGTTGCGTAGTTGGCATCGAGCTCCACGCAGCGTGAGGGTTGGTCACTTTTGCCTGCGACCTCCCAATGGCGCTCGAGAGCGATAGCGACAGCGACGACGCGACTTCAGAGGACGTGTCCGATCCAAGGTCTGAGGACGACTATGATAATGAGGGCGTCAGCGTGGAGAACTTGCCAACCATGGCCACCGTGGAGGTCGTGAAGATGTCCGCGAAGCGCAAAACAATGGCAGCGATATTGAAAGAGGCCGCGGCAGCCGCAGAGCTCGAGGGTCCGAAGCTGGGCCTCTTCGATCTAATATGCATCGGCATTGGGACCTGTGTTGGCACTGGAGTTTTCGTCCTCAGCGGCGAGGTATTGCCAGTAGCTGGACCTGCAGCCGTGCTCTCGTGGATGGTTGCTGGCGCTGCGTGTCTGCTCTCGGCTCTGTCGTTCATGGAGCTGTCAGCGCGGCTGCCCACAAGGGGCTCGACCTACGTCTTCGCGTTCCACTGCCTGGGTGAGCTTGCTGCCGTGATCAGCTCTGTGTGCCTCACCCTGGAGTACGGCATCTCTGGGGCTGGCGTCGCGAGGATCTTCCGGGCGTGAAGGTTGACACCAACACCAAGATCGGCGGTGTGCCTCCACCGAGGGAAGACGATCCCACCCAATCTCGGTGATGGTGGTAATATTCTGGCTTCCAAGGTGACCGAAATATTACCACCAACACCAAAATCTAGGATCATCTTCCCCATGTGGAGGCAACCCCCTGCGCTGGTGTTGGTGCCAATTTCCTGGCCTCCAAGAGGAGCTGGTCGGGGAATGTGGCGAGCATGGTCAACAGCGTTGCGTTCACCAGGATGTGTTTCACGCCTTGGTCCAGCCTGGAGGGTCGCTATGCAAGTTCGTTCAATAGCGTCACTTCTGGAAACCACAGTGTGGAGGCCACCACCGTGCACGAGATTCTTGACCAGCCTCATCTCGATTGGCTGGCTGGCCTCCTGATGCTCCTGTGCGTGATCCTGGTCACCGCTGGCGGGGACTGTGGCAAGATGATCACCAATGCCTTCACCTGCATGAAGGTTCTTCTGATTCTCTTCATGTCGGTCGGGTGCCTCGCACACTGGAACCAGGACATCTTCGAGTCGTTTGGCGCCTTCGCGCCGCGCGGGACCACGGGCATCGTCGACGGCGCCACGCTCCTCTTTTTCGGCTTTGTGGGCTTCGACGAGGTCTGCTGCCTGGCCTCCCGGTCCAAGGACCCCGCGAGGACGATGCCGCGGGCCATCGCCGGGACCCTCCTGGGCGCCACCGCCATCTCGGCGGATTGCAACAGGGGCGGATCGCCCCCCGGGGGGGTGGGGGGGGGGCGCATTACACGTGTCCAGGGGCTCCGCTCGGCCACGTCTTCGACGAGGCTCCTCGAGGAGCAAGCGCAATGCCCGCCCCTGGGCTGTGCTCGGCTGCGTACACGCGTGGCCCTTCGCCGGAGCGAACTGTGGTGCAGGGGCGCAGCCCCTCCAGCACTGGCGCCAGCTGGCTCGGACTTGGACTTGGCCCCCCCCAGCCCCACGGGGCCGCGCACCAAGGGACACTCTTGCCCAGGGTCACTCCTGCGTGTATCCAGACCTTAGTGGGCCCTGGAAACGACAGGGCCGTTTTTGTTACCGTTCTTTTATGGGTTCCCGCTCCGGCTCCAGTCCTGGAGCCGTTTTTGTTGCCGTTTCCGGTCGCCGTTTTTTGCCGTTTCCGTTTTCAAGGGACCTTTTTGCGGAAACGGTGAAAAAATGGCCCTGCCGTTTCCGGGGCCCATTAAGATGTTCCATGGATACCTTCGGCCTCCGGGGGCCCCTGCCAGGCCTCGGGACCGTCAACAGACGACTCAGGATGAAGCACTGGTCCTGGGGAACGGGTCCAGACCTCTGGGGGTCGACGTCGTGAAGTCGGGGGCGGCAAAGACGGGGGTGATGACTAGGGGGGGTGGATCTCATGGCGAGGGCCATGATATCTTGTCCCTAGATTTCATGGCGCCCCTTCTTCTTTCATTACGTCCCCGGCCCCCCCCCCTGGGCCGCGCACATGCCGGCGACCATGATTTGCACCCCCCCTCTTGGACGCCCCCCTTTTGGCCGCCCTCGATGAAAGAATCACGACGTCGGGGGTCCGGGTAGCCGATATATATATATATATATATATATATGTATATATATATATATATGTATATATACGTATATATATACATACACCCTGGCTGCCTCCACCGATCCTCTCCGGCGGCGCGCAGCTGGCCCTCAGCTGCGTCACCCCGCCGGGCACGGCCGCGAACTTCGCCAGCGCCTTCAGGATCCGATATCGGGGGTGATCCCAGGGTGGGGCGGCGGAGCAAGCCTTAAGTCGGGCCTGCCCCTCTACAGGAGGAGTATGCTAAAGAAAGTCAAAAGATAGCCTGGGGACGATGTTTCCACTATTTTTGAATATTTTTGGGCATCGTTTGACTATTTTTTATTTTTCGCCCCAAATCCGCCTGTAGGGGAACACGCCCGACTTAAAGCAAGCCCTTCGCGTCTGCTGATTGCGCGGTCGGCAATCACGGATCGCAGTGGTCGGGGGATGATGTGATCGCCGATCGCGTGATCGGTTGGGCTAGAGCACACGATGGTCCGAGCTGGCATGCGTGATCGATCCGTGGACGGCGTGGTAGTTGTCGCGATTAGGGTTGCGATCGTCGGGGGTGGACAGACCCACTACCCTGACACGTCGATTAAGAAATTGGCCGCTTTCGGTTCGCGAGAGGGCGTCGCGGCCGTCATTTTTGCGGGTCCAGGTCCGTCGGTTTCGGTCCCAGGCCGCTTTCACGAAGGGGAGGCTTACAAAAGGGAGGTTTGTCCACCGCCGAGAACGGCTCACGTGATCGGCTGGCATGATCGGCCGAGGGAGCGGCCAGACTATAAGAGCGAGCACAGCTGGATGCTGACACTTCCTTCCGGGGGGCCGTTTGGGGCGATGTTCCCCCAACCTCCTCCTCCTCCTCCTCCTCCTCCTCCTCCTCCTCCTCCTACTCCTCCCTCCTCCTCCTCCTCCTCCTCCTCCTCCTCCTCCCTCCTCCTCCTCCTCCTCCTCCTCCTCCTCCTCCCTCCTCCTCCTCCTCCTCCTCCCTCCTCCTCCTCCTCCTCCTCCTCCTCCTCCTCCTCCTCCTCCTCCTCCTCCCTCCTCCTCCTTCCTCCTCTGCCCCCACCCCAGCTTCACTCGTTGCGTGATTGCCGACCCCGAGACAAGCCGCTGGGTCAGTGTGGAGGTCGCCGCGGCGGTCGCGGCGGCCACACATCGGGGCAAGGTGTTTGTCAAGGAGTGGCATGCCTCCCAGCCCCGACAGAGAGCTGACAGGTTGTGTTCAACACAGGCAGTCATGGTGCTTTGCTTCGTCGGAAACTAGAACATATACATTACCAGTGGCAGGCTGTTTATTCATTCCAGGACTTTTTGACGGTCGGGGACGACGTCGGGGTGGTGTGGCGTATACTCGGTTCATCCGTCTACCCTGGAAACAATGGAAAGTGTATACACCAGGGTCCCGTAGGCACCAGGACCCGCTTGCCTTTGCAAATATCAGTGGGGGGCCAGAAAACTATTTGGTGTTTCTCTCTCTCTCTCTCTCTCTCTCTCTTTCTCTTCATATATATATATATATATATATACACGTATCGATATTCACACATTTGTATATCATACAGATATAGTCCGGTTGCCTATGAGGCGCCGACTATCACGCAACCACCCGCGTCCCCCAGACAGGAGCCTGGGTCTCCCGTGGGCGGCCTCGGTGGTGACGATCGGCGAGGCGGCGCTGCTGCCGCTGGTCGTCTTCGTCAGCTTCCTGCCCCAGCCGGAGCTCACGGCCGCCATGGCCGAGGACGGTGTCCTGCCGAGCATGTTCTCTCGGGGGTGGACAGACCTCCTACCCTGACACGTCGATTAGTGAATTGCCCTTTTTCGGTTCTCGAGAGGGCGCCGCGGCCGTTATTTTCCAGGCTTGCGCCCGCCAGGTTTGGGCCCGAGGTCGTTTTCAGTAAACCACGTTTTACTAAAGGGAGGTCTGTCCATCCCCGATTCTCCCAGTTGGCCCAAAACGGGGTCCAGCGACGAGGGGGTGGTGCAATAGATCTGGTGCAAGATATTTTTGGGGGGGTGCTATACATTCGGGGCGTGCCATACATGTCGGTGCGCAAGTGTGTTGCTTGATTCTGGCGTGCAATACATTTAGCTGCAATACAATTCAATACATGTCTCCGTCGCAATACATTTGCAGTACAATCGCCCCAAACCTATTGCACCTCCCCTTTCAGCTGGACCCCCTTCTGGGTCAACCAAAAGGACGGGGTCCTGCCGAGCATGTTCTGCAAGAGAGACCGGCAGGGCAGGTGCCAGGTGCTTTAAGATCGGCGGCGAGCGAGCGGGGAGGGTGAGCGAGAGCAGGGGAAGGCTTGCAGCCAGGCTTGCAAAGCTTTCCAGACGGCCCGAGACTTTCAGAGCCTTCTGGGAAGGCCCGCCCCCTCTCACTGCCCCCCTGGCCGCGCCTCCGAGGAGAAAACGCGGGAAGAACAAACAATTTCGGGGGTCCGCGTGGATTGCTTGGATCGGCGCTGGGCCCCCAGGGCGGCGCCTCTGGCGCCGCGCCAGGGAGGGGGGCCCAGCGCAGATCCAAGAAATCCGCGCAGACATGCTATGCCGATATTTCTCATTCGAGGTACGTCGTTGGTTCCGTCGCATCCGGTGCGGTGATGGTCGTCATTGCCGTGGGCGTCCCTTTCGGCGTCCTCTGGGAAGTGATCTCGCTCGGGGTGCTCGTGGGCTTCAACTTTGCGAACGCGTCGCTGATCCAGTTGCGTTACCAGAACGGCGGTAGGTTGCTGAACAAGCGGGCGTCAATGCTAACCTGGGGCGCCATGGCCTTGTCAACCATCGGTTCCTACGTCCTGTGGAAGGGCTACTTGTCCAAGGAGATGAGCAGCAGCCAGGAGGAGCGTGGGAACGAGGTGAATTTGTTCCTCGGCTTGGGATTCATTGTAGCGTCCATGTGTGTCGTGGCCACTCTCGCCTTCACTGCCGAGCAGATCGCGGAGCACCAGGACGCAGCCGACGTGTTCAGGGTGCCCTTCGTTCCCTGGCTTCCCGCGTTCGGCTTCATCGTGAACGGCCTCATGATGGCGACTGTCGGGTGGTCGACCCATCTGGTGTTCTGCGGGATGGTCGGTTCTCGGGGAGGAGGAGGAGGAGGAGGAGGAGGAGGAGGAAGAAGGTCGCTTTCATCCTCGCGCTGCACGTGCTCCAGAAGGTCCACTTGAGAGTCCGACACCGGAAGGCCGCCAGGCACAGCCTTCAGGACCTGGAGGCCGTCGTCGAGCAGCAGAGGCTTCGGCGGCAAACCTCCTCCTCTTCCACAATTATTCAATATGAAAATGCTCTCCCACTTCCCCTGATGGCGTCCCGAAGATATCCGACCCCCCCCGCGTACTGTTTTTTTACACACAGGATTCCCGGGAAACGGGTTTTCGCCTGCGTTTTTTTTCAAAATGCTGCTCTCGCTGAGGCGCCGGCCTCATTTCTGCTCCCGAATCGTTCCGAATCGTGCTCCCGCTGCAGCGTGGGCCTCATTTTCGGATCGGTGTTTGGCCTCCGTCGTTCAGGATGGCGTTCTCGCCCCAGCGCGGGCCTCTTTCTCGCGCGCCCATCCGCCCGCCACCACCGCGCCGCACCACCACCACCACCACCACCACCACCACCACCACCACCACCACAACCACAACCACGCACACACGCACGCACGCACGCACGCGCACCACCACCCACTACGCACGCGCGCGCGGAGCCACAGGTCCGCTACGACACGCGTCCGCGGATAGAGAAAATCAGCGGCATGGTAAGGGATGGGAGGGAGGGGTAGGACGTCAGATATGACGCGAGCGCACCTAGCTTGTCCTCCTCCTCCTCCTCTCCCTCCTCCTCCTCCTCCTCCTCCTCCTCCTCCTCGTCCTCCTCCTCCTCCTCCTCTTCCGCCATCACGGGAGCCTCCGGTGTCCTCGCGCAGCCCCCAGAGCTGCAGAGATGGGGGTCATAATGCAGACGGGGCTCAGCAGTGGCACTGGATCCTGCAGGATCTCGCGAAGACCCCCTCAGGCAGGCCCGGGTTAGCGAGCCGCGAGGCGGCCGCGCATGCTGGCTGACCCGGGTGTGCGAAGCCCTGCGTTGCAGTTTGTTCCTCCTGCATTGCAGTTGTTTGGTCTCTTGCTGACCCGGGTTTGATTGACCCGGGTTAGCAGACCCCCGAAGTCCCATCTTTAGAGTGCGCTAGCGTGCGCTAGCGTCTGGCAATCGATGGTGAGGGGCCGGTGTGGCGTCGGCTCGCGTCGATTTAGCGTCGACGAGCGTCGACTGGCATCGCTTGGCGTCGATTCGCAAGCGCTGGCAAGGTGGCACGGGAAGCTCCCGTGAGTTGCCACCGAACAAGGCAAAGAATCGCAGAGCTCGAGCAGGAAGCATCTGGGAAACAAATGAGTGGCGTAAGCATGGATTTTCGGAGGTCCGCGCGGACTTCTTTGATCGGGGCCGGAGGCGCCGCCCGGGGGGCCCAGCGCCGATCCAAGAAATCCTCGCGGAGCTCCACAAGGTTCGTCCCCTGAGGAAGCGGACGTCGTCGGGCAGCAGAGGAGGAGCATCGCGGAGCTTCAGCAGGAGATCGCGCGGCTCACGTCCGAGGCGGCGTCCGCCGCCCAGCCCGCGGCGCGCTCCGGCTGAGGCGACCGCCTGCGCAGATCTTCGAAGAAGAAAAGCTTGCATAAACAGAACTTTTCGACGGTCCACGCGGAGTTCTTCGATCCGCGCTGGACCCCCCCAGGCAGCGCCTCTGGCGCCCGCCCCTGGCGCACCCCCCGTGCCAGGGAGAGGTGTCCAGCGCCGATCCAAGAAATCCGCGCGCACCATCGAAAGTTTATGTTTATGCCGTTGTTTCTTCGCCTGAGTACATGCCGTGTTCAGCACGTCTCACGTACGCGTTGGTCCACGTTTTTTTTGCGACCGTATCTTACGCTCTCAATATTCTTACGCTCTCAATATACGTGTTGAGCTCCGTGTCCACACGCTGCGGGCGGGATGTTGCGCATCGGGGCAGCCAAGCCCCCGGGGCTTTGCGCAGCACCCGCATCCCTGCACGCGTGTACATATTCCCGTCGAAGTAGGCAAAAGGGCATGCACAGGCAGCCAAAACGCTGAAACAAGGCACAGTTAGGGGCCGGAAGGGGCTCGATGTTACTTAGGTCCATCCATGGTTGTGTCTCTAGCGCTCCTCGTCCATGCAGGCGATTTGGGGGCCAGCGAGGGGCTTCGTTCCTCGTTTAGCGTTCCTTGCGGCAGCAGCTTCACTGTAAGTTTTCGGAGGTCCGCGCGGATGTCTTGGATCCGCGCCGGACCAGGGAGCGGGGTCCAGCGCCGATTCGAAGAGTCCACGCCGATGTTCGACGGTTTGTGGTTATGCAGTTTTGTCTTCTTCCGCCCAGGCGCTTAGAGAGCGCATCTGTACTCGATCATCGAACCGATGGTGGGTAGCAAAAATCGGCGGCGCGCCAGGGGGGGGGGAGAGAGGACAGGCCTCGTTATCAAGAGGCGGCGGGGCTTCGCAGAAGCCCTTCGACTTTCTGAGAAGTCGTCTGCGCCTTCGGGGAAGGCTGGGACTACCTTGTCAGGAAGCCAGAGGATTTCCGAGCCTTCTGAGAAGGACCGCCCCTTCTCGCTTCGCCCCTGAGCTCGCCGCCGAACATAAATAGATCCTGGCGAAGAGCCCATTCATGTACAGTTGTGAATATCGTCTTCGGTGGAGCCTCCTACGGGGCCACAAAACGGTGGGTGTCACTGGGACCTTCGGAGGAGCTCTTTGTGGGGCCACGAGCCGTGTGAGGGGTGCGCCGTAATGGGCGGAGGGGGGACGCGTGCGAAGGTCGCCGCTGGGGCCTCGATTAAGTGAAGCTTCTTATGGGGCCACGAACCGTGTGAGGGGTGCGCCGTAAGGGGCGGGGGGACGCATGCGAACGCCGCCACGGTGTACTGGGGCCTCAGGTGGAGTTCCCGATGTATGTGGCCGCGAACCGTGTGAGGGGTGCGCCGTAATGGGCGAGGGCGACGCAAGCGAACGCCGCCACCGGGGCCTCAGTTGGAGCTCCCCATGGGGCCACGAACCGTGTGAGAGGTGCGCCGTAATGGGCGTGGGGGACGCATGCGAACGCCGCCACTGGGGCATCAGGTGCAGCTCCCTATGGGGCCACGAAGCGTGTGAAGGGGTGCGCCGAAATGGGCGTTGGGGACGCATGCGCACGTCGCCACTGGGGCCTCAGGTGGAGCTCCCAACGGGGCCACGAACCGTGTAAGCTGTGCGACATAATGGGCGTGGTGGACGCATGCGCACGTCGCAACTGGGGCCGTAAGTGGAGCTCCCTACGGGGCCAGGAACCGTGCGAATGGTACGCCATAGGGATATCTAGGGATGCGATCGTCTCCGCTGGGGCCTCAGGTGGAGCACCCTATGGGGCCACGAACTGGGTGAGGGGTGCGCCGTAAGGGGCGGGGGGGACGCATGCGAACGCCGTCATTGGGGCCTCAGGTGGAGTTCCCGATGTATGGGGCCACGAACCGTGTGAGGGGTGCTCCGTAAGGGGCGAGGGGGACGCATGTGAACGTCGCCACTGGGGCATTAGGTGGAGCTCCCTGTGAGGCCACGAAACGTGTGAGGGGTGCGCCAAAATGGACATGCGGAGGGCCGAGGCACGGATGGGAGGAGGGGGGAGGGAGGAGGAGAATAAAGGAGGAGGACGCGGGGCGCTGCCTCTTCACAACGAGGACCCACCACCACAGGATGATTGGGAAGAAGATCCCCTCGGCTCCCAGATCGAGGAGGGCAGTTTGCCGTGCCCAGCGGCGTGGCCCCGCCTATTCCGGCCGCCCCCCCCCCCCCCCCACTCCCCCCCTCTTTGTGCAAGGCGGGGGCGCACGCCCCTGGTTCTGCGGTCTCCCGCTGCTCCGCTTGCCGGCTGCTGCGGCCCCGACGCAGGTCGAGGACGGGCCCCCTGCCCTGTCGGCCCGTCGCCCCCCTCTCGGCGTCACATATCCGGGAGCCGCATGGCCTCGGGGGCGCGTGGCGCGAGCACGCCAGGCGGCACTGCTGCTGACCTCTCGTCTGCGGCGGGCTCCCCCCCCCCCGGGCCCCCCCCTCCTGCCGGGCGGCCTCGGGGGCTCGTCGGGGCCCGCGGAGGCCCGTCGGGCGGCGGCGTGGCGAGCAGGAGGGCGCCCAGCCGGCTGCCCCCCCGGGAGTCTCGGAGGGAGAGGGCGCCCGGGACTGCGGCGCGCCGCCCCTGGAGGAGGAGGAGGAGGAGGAGGATGAGGAGGAGGAGGAGGAGGAGGAGGAGGAGGAGGGGAGCTTCTAGAGCCCCCCGTGGGCTCCCCGTCGCCACGGCGGCATCTGCCTCGAGAGGCCGCGCAGGATGGACCCCAGGAGGGGTCCAGGGTTCAGGCGGGCATGTCCCTCTACAGGAGGGGTCGCCCAGAAGAGTAGAGCAAAAACAGTCTGGGAACGGTTTTTGTTGACTAGTTTTGACAATGTCTGATTCTGTCTTGACTGTTTCCTATCTGTCCTCCAGAATCTGCCTGTAGGAGGACATGCGGGCGGATCTGGGCCGCGCGGGGGGAGCCGCCGTGATCCCCGGGGGGCGGAGCCGGACGCTGGCCGCGCAAGGGCATATATGGCCACTCCTCCCCGGGGGCGTTTGCCCAGGCGCCCGCAGCAGGAGCGCACCAGAGGTGCGTCGAGTCGAGCAGTTGATTCCGCAGCCTCCTCTGGAGAAGCTGGGCCAGCGCTTCTCGACCGACTCGCCGGAGAGCCGGCCCAGCTTCCTGAGCACGTTCGCCCCTCCAGCTTCAAGCACAGATATTGGCCCAGGCGTGTTCTAAGAAGCTTCTGGGGAGCTGGCCCAGGTTTCTACCACGATGGTTTCCTGAATCGCATGTTCGGCTGTCGCCCCTGGAGGGCTGGCAGGGCGGAGAGGTGAGCGAGAGGGGGGGAGGAGGCGACAGCTCGACGGTGGCGGCAGTCAAGGTCAAGGTCGCTTTCTCCTTAACTGACAAGTGTTCTCACTATGTACTGCAGTGCATCCCCTCTCCCCCTCGTGCTCCTCCTCATCATACAGCGGGACGCGCATCAAGAAACCCGCTGCTTTTCGTCAGCACGCTGCGCGCTGACTTCCTGCGGGCCGTGAAAGAAGCTGCTGCGTCCAGGGTGCGTTGGGGCTTCCCCTTAGTCGCA